CTTATCTTCAGAGACCAACTCAGATGGGTTCTCAATAATCTCTGGAACTTCCTGACCTTCATCATCGATCACCTCGACGTCTCCTTCCATAGCGGAGGGTTGATCAGGTTTAGCCTCAAAAATATGAGGCAAGGTAAGAACCATATTGCAATTCACAATTCCTTCAAATGAACCAAATTTGATACCTTTTGAACCATCATCGTGGTCATCTAGGTCGAGTTCGTCATCACCAAATCCTGCTTCATCTTCAGCTTCTTTCATGGAGGAAGACGCACATTTCTCTTCAGTGCATCTATTTCTGTCTGTACTATCTTCTTTGGATTTTCCTTTCGGATCACTTTTTGAATCTTGCTTGATAGGTTCTCTCCTAAGCAAAGTCACCTTCCCTGGCTGTGGAGCTGAATATTTTTCTTCCATTTTCTTTAACTCAGTTTTCATCTGCTGCCACCGTCTTACTTGAGTGCGAGTCATGAATGCTGGCGGGATATCCCTGACCCTAGAGAACTTTGGATGACTCACCCTTGACCATCGACCGTCGTCAGTGACTGGTGGCTTGACCATCCTTTGCCTATGGTTTGGGTGGTTAACTGCTGTCTCAGCCTGGCGAGCCACATTTGAGTCATGCTCCCTCGGCTTCCAGACAACATGAGTAAGATTCCTTGACCGACTGTTGGAGTTCACTTTTCGCCTTCGCTTGTGATGCTCATTGGTATTAGACCTTCTATCAGGCCATGTTAATCGACTTGTCACAGGCACCCTAGACGAGGGTGACCTAGGTCTGTCTTCATGATGTGAACTTCCAGGACGTCCCCGAGTGTCGCTGTGGAACCTCTCTCGGTCCCTTCCAATGTCTGTCTTGCATTTAGGGCATAATCCTTGCTTGATCAGCGCCAGTTGAGCCTCCCGCAACTCCTTTTCTAAGTCATCCTTAGACCTTGGAGTTTCCTTAACCATCGGTTTCTTTCCTTCAGCCTTGCTTTCTCTGTTAGCTGAAGTATCCTCAAAATCAATTCTTCTCCGTGGCCTGCTGGCCATTGAGATTTCGACCATGTTACTGCTGACCAAGGCTGGGAATGGATCACTGTCAACGCTCATCACCTCTTTCTTCTTCTCCGGGAACTTCCATGCCCCCTTCTCGATCTGTGCCTGAATCACATTACGAAAGACAACACAATTATTAGTTGCATGATTCCAGGAGTTATGATATTTGCAATACTCTCGACCCTTGATTTCATCAGCTGAAGGTATTTTATGTACCCCAGTGACTTTGATAATTTTATCAGACAACAGGTGGTCAAAGATTTTCTCTGCTTGACTTATATCGAAAGCATATTGTTTGCCAGCCTCAAAGATATTCCTTTTGGCTGAAGATGATGAGGGTTGAACACCGCTAACAGTCTCTAAGGGCTTAGCTAAAGCTTTACATACATATGGTTTTTTTGAAACAATTTCAACAGCATCGACCTCTAGGTCATCATACACTGTATCAACCATGTGTATTTCATAATTAGGGTCCTTATAATAGGTCCCCCAAGAGGAGTTTTTCCTCTCGTTTTCCTCTCGTAAGATTTTTTCATATTTGGTAACCCTATCGGCTAATTGGAACAGATCTCCAAAATGAGTACCCTTGAACTTCTTTCGTAATTCAAAGTCTAAACCGCTAAGGGCCAAGTTGACAAACTCTTCTTCAGGCAAAGTAAGTTGGCACCTATTTCGTGCCTTCTTAAACCTAGCCAAAAATGTCTCAACATCCTCATTTGGCAACTGATAGATCCTAGATAGGTCGGACATAGAGACTTCTGGTTCTGTCCTATAGAACTGATCATGGAACACATCCTGCATCTGTTGCCAAGTGTGGATGGAATTTGGTGGCAAGTTTAGATACCACTTGAAGGCAGTCTCAGTGAGGGTGTTAGAGAATAGCTTCATTTTATACTAATCGTTGTTGCTGAGTGGCCCACATTTTAATGTGAAACGGCCAATGTGCTCAAGAGTTGATTGGTTGCCTTCTCCTGAGAAAGTTGCAAAGTTTGGCACCCGAAAATTTTGGGGAAGATCCATCCGATCTATCCAGTCAGGAAATGGGTGCCTAAAAGTAGGTCGAGTAGCCCTTTTTAAAGCTGGTCCATACTGTTCTTGTATGACCTCAGCCAATTGCTCCCTAGTCATGACCATAGGTGGGGCTTGGTTCTGAAAAGGAACATTGGGCCAAGGGTTATGTCCCTCTTGCCCCCCTAGGTTCCCTGCCTGAGGTGGCAAGACTTGAGGTTGAAAATGAGGAGGTCGACCATTAGGTTGGTCATGATTCCTCCATCTTGGTTGTTGGTGACCATTCACTCCTGGCTCTACTTGATGGACTTGTGGTGGAATTGGAGCTACTGGTCGAGGACCATTAACCATGGGAGGTGGCTGGGCACCTCTTTCTGGTTGACCAACTTGTTGAGGAGGAAACTGGTCCACGGGTCTATCATTCTGGTTTTCTAACCTAGGCGGCTGAGCAATGACCTGCCTATCAATACGAGTCACTAAGGCATTAATCACCTCATTTAGCTGTTGGAGCTGAGTATTAGTCATGTGGGATGAAGCCACCAATGGTTCCATATTTTTGTTGATTTCCCAAGCGACTTGGCGTTGGGAAGCCTCCACTCTACTTTCAAATCGTGTCACCATATTGCTGACACTTTCGGCCGCCATTTGGTGGCTGGCCTGATGTCCCTCTTCATGCTCAGACCCGGAATCTTGCATGATGGGAGCAGGCCGATTTTCTTCCTGATCTTCCCTTTGAGGGTTAGCTTGTCCAGCTGAAGTCTGAGTCTGTGACCTAGTCTCGACGACCATTCACAAATAAAACACAGGTCCCACTGGGCGTGCCAAAGTTGTTTGGCTCACAAAGTGGTCTGAGGTCGCTAGCCAATGAATGGCTGACCTAGAACGCGGGCGTGCCAGAGTCCTGATGGACTCGAATATTTCTTGCCAAACTATTCCTATTGGGTCGGGTCACCGACCTAAGGTGATTCAGGCGAAAGTTGGAGAGTAGGAATGAGCCTCTCCTTAAGGTTGCTATTGCCTTTAAGAAAGGACTTTAAACATTTAAGATGAGTATCAATTAGAAGCAACTTAAACTGAACAATAAATATACCCGAATCTGCAAACCTTTCTTCATTGAACTTGACTGATTACAATGATGAATGAATTACAAACTCTTGATTGAAATGGAAACTAAAGTATTGAATGCTGAAAAATAACTAAGTACTAAACTGATAGTGCTAAGCTAAACTTGCTGAAATAAAAGCTAAGTGATGAACTGAACTTGATGAGATAAAAGCTAAGTGCTAAGTGATATGAGTGCTAAAGGTTGAACTTTAGAAATGGTCTTAGACCTCTTCCTTGTGATGCTTGAGTGGGTATTTATAGAGGCTTCCACCTGGTGTTGTCCCTTTCAACCGTTTCTCTAGAAATTGATTGGTTGTAAGCTGAAAGTGACTTTTCCTAACCACCAGCTGGAAAGGTTGACTAACTTGCACATCCTTCTATAGACAGATACAAGTATGTCTGACATGGTATTTTTTACTAAATGGTGCCTATTCTTTCATGCTTGATGATTTTGGTCTTCAAGCCATTTTCAGCTCTCTGCACCTGTCATATCTGGCTTGATTTGTACATTAGCCTGGAGTCATCTGATTACTGACAATCTTAACTTCCCTCATCAGATGTTGGTGAGAACCTTCCATCTGTAATTCTGAACTTCTGACATTGTCAAGTTGTCCTTTTCTATTTCAAGCTTTCTTCAAACTTCTAGACCTGACTTGTTGGGTTCTTGAAACGTTGGGATTCACAACCGGTCTTCATTTGAATTACCCCAAAGATTCCTCAAGTGATAATGACCCAAGACCCCTGATCATGACCATATTTGGTCATAAGTCTTGATCATGGCCATAGTGACTAGAAATCTTGGTTAAGATTCATGATAATGACCATTATAACCAAGAGTCTTATGATCATTGTGACCGAGAGAAATAACGATCGAGACTCTTGATCATGGCTAGTTATGAGTCTTTGGAGAGACTTTGGATTGTGACCATTATAACTGAGGGTCTCCTGACCATGACCATTGTGATTGAGAAAGTTGTGACTGAGAGTATTTTGGCCTAAGACTCATGATCATGATGACTGAGACTCTCATAACCATAGCGACCGAGAAGGGTTTTGGCCTAAAACTTATGACCATGAGACTGAGACTCTCGTGACCAAGATGACTGAGACTCTCATGACCAAGATGACTGAGAAGGCTTTGGCCTAAGACTCATGATCATGAGACTGAGACTCTCATAACCATAGCAACCGAGAAGGGTTTTGGCCTAAAACTTATGACCATGAGACTGAGACTCTCATGACCAAGATGACTGAGAAGGCTTTGACCTAAGACTCATGATCATGAGACTGAGACTCTCATGACCATAATGACTGAGAAGGTTTGGCCTAAAACTCATGATCATGACCATAGTAACTGAGAGTCATAACCATAGTGACTGAGAGTCTCAATCATAGCCTGTTATGGGCTCAAAACCTCATATCAGTCTTAATGGCCTAAAAATTCCACTCTTCGTCATTCTCAGCCTTAAATCGGATCACCATGATTAGAAATTAATCTTTTGCCCTGATGATCGGACCTTGTAATTTCTGACCACGTGGCATGATTGCCTCGAATTATATTTTAGGTGTTAACACAATGATACTTTCCCCTTTTGGCTGGGAACACTTACTAGGCTAAAGGTTCTCATTCTTCGTTTTAATAAATTTCACGGTGCAATACTGAACCCTCCTAACTCCAGTTTTGCTTTTCCCATATTGAACATCATTGACCTTTCTCACAATGGTTTCACTGGCAAGTTGCCTTCAGATTACTTCCACACCTGGAAAGCCATGAAAAGTGTTGTTAATCAGTCAACGTACATGGAGGCAACCACAGTGTTGCATACAATTGAATATAGTTGGCAAGAATGTTACGACTACTCGATGACACTAGCAAACAAAGGTGTGCAGATAGTATATATGCATATCCCAAAAATTTGACTGCCATTGATCTCTCAAGTAACCAATTCGAAGGAGAGATTTCAGAATCTATTGGGATTCTCGAGGGGCTTTACATGGTCAATCTCTCTAACAACAATCTTATTGGTCACATCCCATCTTCTTTTGCAAATCTAACACAGCTCGAGTCACTGGACCTTTCTCAAAATAAACTCTCGGGAAAGATACCTCTGCAACTCACCCAACTCACCTTCCTTGAAATTTTCAATGTCGCTCATAATCAACTCACAGGGCCTATTCCACAAAGAAGACAATTTGATACATTTCAGAACAGTTCATATGAGGGGAATTCAGGATTGTGTGGAGACACTTTGTCGAAGAAATGTGGACATTTAGAAGCATCACCACCTTCAAACTTTGAAGAAGATAATGGTCATTCATGGTTCCCAATCAGTTTTACTGATTGGATTGTCATATGCATGGGTTATGGAGGTGGATTAATAGTTGGTTTGATCATTGGGCACACCCTGACCACAAGCTATCATGAATGGTTTGTCAGCACCTTCGGAGGGAACCAAAATAAACAGAGAAGGAAGAACAAGAGCGTGCGAAGAAGAAGAACTTGATGAGCACATATTTGCTTCAACTATGTTTGCCTTTATAGGCTTCCCATATTTGCTTCAACTATGTTCAGCTGTCTTGAAGATGATAAGGTTTGCCTTCAATATATATGCATTAGATAATTCGTGTGTTTTATGTTTCTTCTCACTTCCATTTTATAGAGCCAAGGCTTGTACGTTTCCTTATGTCGTGTAATTAGGTAATAAGTTGGTGCAGTGTTCAAATTTAGGTCTGCTAAGTTTGATAATGTATTTCTAAAGTAGTTTCTCTCAATAAGAAAAAGGTTATTAAAAAAAATAAAATAAAATAAAAAATTGCAGTATAGAATGAGCAATTTGCTAATCATCCCATTGCTCATGTGGAACAGTCTCTTTGCTTTTTCCTTTTGCACTCTGAATGTTTGACTATGCATAATATATAAATCAGAATCAATTTGATTTGTTGACTTCTCAGAGAGTGATTGGGTTGTCTCGAATTTCTTAGACCTGCCTGGTTGTTACGACAAATACCGTGAAACCAAGAACACAATATAAAAATGATGAAAAAAATAAAAATAAATAAATAAATCATACACATCACACAAGATACAAAGATTTACGTGATCGGTGTATAACTTACATTCAAAGTGAAAATTATCAAAAGATTATAGTAGGATCCGAAGTCTACGGTTTATTGATGAAGGGGTTAATGTTCGTAAGATTAGATCACAAGACGGGAATCGTGTAGTATGAAAATGATATAAACTTTTTAAATAAAAATGTCTTCAAAATAAATAGAGAATACACCTAAAGCACCAAAAATATAGAAATACTACAAAAAAAAAAAAACATAGATTTGGGGAAAAGTCCATTCTCCGTGTTGAAAAAATAAAAAAATAACAAGAACTGAATAACAAATGTCTAAGTTTTTTAAAGAACGATAACACATTAAAAAAATTCCAAGAATTAAACAATTCATTTGCAATTTCGTTGCGCAAATTAACCATAAACACTGCCAAATTGCATTATTTAATTTGTTCATTACCTTCCTTCCCTACTAATTTAAGAGAATGTCAAAGTTTCACCATTATTAGAGGAAACCTCAAATTGAAAATCCTTATTATCAAATTGTTCAAAAAGTTCATAGATGGTGGTCGTTTTTAGGAGGTAATTGTGAATAGTTGCACAAGCAATCACGATATTGCTCTGCATTCCAAATGCATACTGTGCAGTCCATTTCAAGATTGGGAAACGGGTCTTCAAGACCCCAAAAGCACACCCAATAACATTCCTAGTTTGCAACGTGCATGGTTAAATAGCTCTTCCTTTATTCTCGGACGACTGCTTTTCCAAATAGTTGAGAGAAAGATTCAGAAAAAAATCAGAAAAGTGTCAAAAAGGGGCCTGCGATCGATTGCAAGCCAGGTGCGATCGATTGCAAGTCACCTCAGCATTCTGGCCAAGTTTCATCATCACCTGCGATCGATAGCAGGAAATCCGAGATTGATCGCACGCCACTTCAGCCCCACGTCTGCTCCACATGCAGAAAAGGACGAATCCTTGTCAGCTAGCTGCGATCGATCGCAGCCAAGTTCTCAAACAATCGCTATATTCCAAAAGTCCGCTAATCAATATCGCACATTGCAATAGGCACATGAATCCTTGTGGTGTAGGAACTGGAAAGTTGTTCTCGGTATCATGCACAATTTTTACCAACTAAGACGGTGGAGGAATTGTAAAGTTGTTCTCGAGATCATGCATGATTTCAGTCAAGACCTTTGCGTCATGTGTTACACCTTCCCAACCACCCCATATAACTATAAAAATTATATTAAAATCAGATATTACAAGCACATTTTTGTAACATTCTCCTCTCACTCTTTCCCTGTATAGCACTTGCTTGTCAGGTAGAATAATCACACGAATGAGAGTCCCATCAAGTGCACCTATAGCACCCTTTTGAAAACAAAAATTATTTATTTAAGAAGCAAATTTAACAATAATTTAATAAACTAAACAAATTCGTTATATATATTACCTTGAATTTTGATTCTACATTGTGGAGCCAATTATTTCTTTCAAAAGAGAATCATTGCGTCCAATACTTCATGAATATATTTATAATTTTCCTTAAAGCGTTATTTCCATCCTCCTTTGTCATTCTATTAAGAGGACAACCAAAATATTATTATTCATAATAGATAAGTATTCAATAATTTTAATTATGGAACATTAAAGTTAAAAGAACAAATTCTAGTGCAATCAGAAGTTAAATTTGAAGAAAAATGTAAATTTATTTATCATGTCAATCAAAGTTCAAATAATTGGAAATAAATAAATAAGGAAAAAAATAATAAAAATTTGGGAATTCAGTAGCATATACAAAGTAAACAAAACTTGATATTGCAAAAGATATAATTCAAACAATACTTATACTAATATAAGTCAAATCATAAAATTCAAATAAATATAAGTTTTTGAGCATTTATTTATGGCCAACTGATTCTAAGTTCTTCTGGTTTTTGAAGTATCATTCATTGCTCTCTATGCGATTTAATTTGCAAAATTTACTTAAATCAGCATTATACAATGGGTCATCCATTTGAAGGATTTCCATATTGTCTAAAACTCTATTACACTCTTTAAAGCTTAGACCTTTGGATTTTTCTTATATTTTGAGAATTGCTTGTAGTTGGTTATCAATATCTTCAGATTGGTCTTCCTCTGACGTTTAGCTTTTTGCAATGGATTTTTTGTTGGAGGAAGGCATAATAGAGTTGGTCAATTTTTGTTTGTAAAACTCCTATGGACATAATCTAGAGGCATTCCTGGCCTAGATGGAACCCATGTTGCTTGGCTTATTTCTGTTATGTCATTGCATAATGTCTTCATCTAATCAGCGTATTGTAACCAGGTATACCGAAATTATTTTGCATCGGGATTTGCCTATTCCACATCAAATTTTATTCCACATGATTTGTGATACAATCCCAATTTAAAATGTAAAATGGTAGATATTGTTACCTTTATGTAATCATCCCAATTTTCTGCACTTCAGTTCTTGCTGTCAGTTACTTGATCATCCTTATCTCCTGTACTTCTCATCAGCTTTGTCCATGTTGAATACTTGTTTCCCAATCTCGGAAAGGATGGAACCTTTTGCATTTGGAATGTAGAGAAATATCGTTATTGGTTGTGCAGCTATTCACAATTATCTTTGAAAAACAACCGCCACATACGAACTTTTTGAACAATATGATAATGGGGATTTTCAATTTGAGACTTCCTCTATAAACATTGTGTGAGATATAATTTTTGTAAATTGGCATATTTCGGTAACAAAACAAGTCCGATTGAGTTGTAATTTTTCGGTTCGAAATTGAAGATCGGATGCGGATTTGAAGAAGTTCAAGTGTTCATGATACTACACTCCGAGATGATGAGAACAATGCTATAAGAAGTTTTGAGAGGTAGTGAGAACATTGAGAAAGGGTTTTGGATGTTTTAGAAGAAGATTTTATATTTTGTCCACCTTGAACTGATTCAAGATTTATCGAATAGGTTCAACTTGAACTGGTTCAAAATTTATCAAACAGGTTCAACTTCAGTAGAGTGACGATTTTAGAATCTGTCCATCTTGAACCGGTTCAAGATTTATCGAACAAGTTCAAGACGTCCTGGTACTATTCTAACTTTCAGTTTCCTGTTCTGATTTTTTTCTTTTTGATCCCAATTTCTTTCTAAAGTCTTATGCATGAAATTTCCCTTATTTTTAAGAGGAATAGGACTTTGCAAACCTCTATATAAACCATGTCATACACAAGGTTTATTTCACGGCTTTTAATCATTATTCATATATCATACAAAGCCTTAGGAAGAAAATCCCTCTCAGAAAATCAAAGTTGATTTTTTCTGTAGTCTTCCTAGAACATATACATATTCACCTAGATAGGTTAGAGTTGTGGAGTTCAAATCCTGATCGTGATCATACAATTGTATCAAACATCGATCAGACATAGCAGATCTTCTTCTACATCATTCAGACGATTGAAGAACAGAAGTAAGCGCAATCACACTTTTGAAAGGGTTGGAGCATTCGTGGAGTGTTGTCTGATCTACCTGTTACTCTTCTACAAATATCAAGCGTCAGTCTGAGATCAAGTTGCTGTTGGACAAGGAGTCGCAAAGCCAGAAGATCATCAGCGGTTGGTGTGGTGTAGAACGATAGGGTGTGAGGCAGAGTCGAAATTCAGTATACTTTGTTCCAAGCATAGTGGATTGGTTTACTTTGGACTGCATCAGTCCACGAGGTTTTTCCCACAGTTGACGTATTTTATCAACTGGGGTTTCCTCGCTAAAATCCTGGTGTCATCTCTAACTTTATACTTTGCTTTATTTTATCTGCATATGATTAACTGTTTAATTGCTAAAACATAAAATAAGTAAAGTAAGGGCACAGATCTGTTTTATAAGAACAAACAAAAACTTTTCTATATACATTCCGCTGCGTACGACTCATAATTTGGTATCAGAGTAGATCTCTATACACTGAGTTAATCCTTGTTGGAAAGTTTAGTTTTGTTGTGTTTTTTTTAAAAATTGTTTTCATCATGTCTAAAAATTCTAGAAGGTTCTTTAAAATAGAAAGAATATAAATTGTAATAAAGGAGATCCTTCTAAATTGAAATATAAGGAAAACAATAAAGATGCTTCTATTGCTTTTATTGCTCATATTAATAATGATACTGCTAATAATTCTTCTTTGTGTGTAGAAAATCTTACCAAATTTGAGTTATTGAGCAAGGATGTCAAGGAGCAATCTAAGAAGCTGAGAGAAATAGAAAGCATGAATGATGCCTTGAAAAAGGAAAGAGATACCTTGAAGATGGAGAATGATTTCTTGAAGAAAGATGATGAGCAAAAACAGAAATTGCTTAAGGAGAACAAATCTGAAATTCAAAATCTTCATGACAAGGTAAAATTCCTTGAGAGCAAGGTAAGTCAAGCTAATTCTGCTAGAGAATTTATTATTGCCAAATTTAATTTTCTTGAACTTGAATTGAAAAAATCTCAAGATAAATTAATTGCTTTTACTTCTGGGCAGATTAAGCTTGATAAGATGATTAGTGTTGGTAAGCATGTAGGTGATAAAATTGTTTTAATGAGGCTTCATCTAGTAAAAAGAGTCAAACTATTTTTGTTAAACCTATGAACTTGAATGTGCCTATTGTTAAGCCTATGCATGCTAAGAATGTGTCCAAGGTGCTTTATTGTTCTTATTGTGGTAGAACTGGATATAGTCAACACTATTGTTATAAAAAGAAAAGGGATAATACTTTTTATGATTTTCATGGTTATAATTCCTTTGCACAAAATAGGTTTCATGCTAGAAAGCAAAATTGGAATAAACCTAGAAATTTTCATGCTAAAAGGAATTCACACAAGAAAAAGAAAGATTTTTCTAAAATTCATTCTCATGATGTTCATGCTAAGAAAAAGGTATTTTCTAAAAAGAAAAAGGAGAATATGTCACCTAAGTTTTCTAAAGCTGATAATTTGCCTACGAAAGAGGTAAAGGATGTTAAAAAATTTCAAGAGTTGAGAGTGAGAACTGTTTGGATCAAAAAGTCTGATTTGATCAAGTAAGTGCCTATTGAGTCCTTGGAACAAGTTTCCCAAAGGACTTCACCTTTAAACTAAGTCCTATGAAATTTAGTGATTATGGCTTATGGTTAAAAGAAATTTTTGTTGCCATTGGAACAATTGCTAGGGTTTAGTTTAGGGTTGAGTTACTGATCATAGTCTTCTTGAAATATCTGTGAAAATTCTTTTATTGAATTTATGATCTATCTTGAATGCAAATTTGGACACATGATTTTTGATTAAAAATAGATTCTTGGCTTTTAATCTATACAATGAAAGTTGATTTGCATTGATTAACGGATGTTTAGATTTAACTCTCTTAAGTTCATAACCTTTTGTGCACTAGTCCAAATGTGAAAAATTTGATTGAAAATTTTAATTTGTTGACTAGGGTATATTGATCATAAAAGTTACAAAGGTTATTGTTTAAAAAAAAAAAAAAAAATAGGAGCTTAAAAAAAAAACAATGAAAAAATTCAACTTGAAAGAAAAAGGAAAAAAAAAATGCTGAATTCTTTGTTTAGGAAAACGCTACCTATTAAGTTGTGTTCGAACGCTCCCATTAAACTTTGAAGAGGAGTTAAATGAGTAAAAAGAAAGGTGGAGACAAGTTGAATTGGGGAATTGTTGTCTGGTCTTTAGAGTGATAGCCACCTAACTTAGAAAAATTGCTCAAAGGCAATCTTATCTTGATGCTTTTCGATCAATATAGCTTAGACAATGATTTCTTGATAATTGATTGAAAATTGAGAAGATGGATTGCACACACACACTTGAACTTACTAGATTGATTTCTAACAGTTTCATTAATATTTGCAAGTGAAAATTCTTGTTATGATTACTTCCTGAGAATTGAAATTGACTGACTACTCTGTGGTGTCAAGAATTTTTGTTCATAGATATCTCTATAATTCTCTGGGAAATTGGATCAGGTATGGACTTGAAAAACTTTGAATTACTCAATGATTTGTGTTTTGTTTTATTTTAAAAATGAAAAAAATAAAAAAATAAAAAGAAAAAAACTGAAAAAAAAATTCAAAAAGATTTTTGTTTTTAGCTTATAGTTTTTTTTGGTTTGATTTGACATTGAGTGATTCAAAAGGTCCAAGGAAAAATATCTAAAAAAAAAAAATTCAAGTTTAAAACCTACTGATCATTACCTACCGGTCCCCAAAGCTCCTACTGGTAACCAGTTAAAACCTTTGAGGTTCAAGTTTCTGGAGGCTCACTACCGGTACATGATTTGCCTACCGGTTCCACAGTGGTCAAGAACCAAGTTGGAGTTACTGTCTAGTGGGAACCGATTCCTGGCAGTGAGATTGCATTTAAGAGGAACCCATTTGGCATATTGTTGGGTCATATTGCATACACCCATTCTCTCTCTAGAGTACCCACTTTTTCTCTCTATATTGCTCACATATATTCACATCTTTAAGTGCATTATTCTCATAATATTGGTGCTTACATTCAATTATATATTGTTATCTTTGTATCAATAAAAAGAATTGAAGATTGAAGCTTGAAAGTTGAAAAGAATTTGTGGAGTTTAGGAGTTTAAGAAACTTAAGGATTGAGACTTGTTTGTGTTGTGATTAAAGCTTTGCTTGCTTTGATATTGGGTTGATTGTTGGGGTTTTGAAGAATCAAATCAAGCTTGTCCAAGAACAAGTGTTGAAGTTCACACTAAGTGTTTGATAGAATTCTCAAGAGAAGTTGGAGGCTTCAAAGTGGAAAATTGTGTGAAAAACATGGCATCTCAATTACTCAAAGAAGCCAAAGGTAAAGTAATTGAGATTCCAGAAGCTCCCAAGCAAGCTAAAACTAGTATTGTCATTGTGATGCATGTGTGATCAAACAATGGATGCAAAGTCTGATGAGGATGATGATAAGAATGATGGTGGAGAGTATTGATTTCTTTCTGACATAATTTTTGGACATACTAATGCCTGATATTTTGTCCTGCATCATGACATTACTTTTTGCTCAGTTTTTACATTGTCATGACTTGATATTTTTGGATATTTTGTTTTGGTTTCTGATATTAAACTTATTCCTGTTTACTCTGTTTTCGTATTATTTCTCTCTAGTTATTTTGCTATTACTTTGTCAATGTTGTTCTAAAAAGGGGGAGAACAAGATTACATTAAGGGGGAGAAAATCTAAAATTTTTGGATACTTAATTCAGGGGGAGTTTTTAACTTGTTTTATTAAACTTTCACTGGTAGTTTTACTTGATCCATGTGCAGGAATTCAGGTAAAATTTTGTCCAACAGCAAAAGAGAACAGAGATAAACACATTCCGTGTTTCCTTAAACAATTGTAATTTAATTTTCTGCTTTGGGTAGATTATAATTTTTTTTTAGGGTTTTGTCATGAAATTGCCAAAGGGGGAGATTGTGAGATATAATTTTTGTAAATTGGCATATTTCGGTAACAAAACAAGTCCGATCGAGTTGTAATTTTTCAGTTTAAAATTGAAGATCAGATGCGGATTTGAAGAAGTTCAAGTGTTCATGATACAACACTCCAAGATGATGAGAACAATGCTATAAGAAGTTTTGAAAGGTAGTGAGAACATTGAGGAAGGGTTTTGGATGTTTTAGAAGAAGATTTTACATTTTGTCCATCTTGAACTGGTTCAAGATTTATCGAACAGGTTCAACTTGAACTGGTTCAAAATTTATCGAACAGGTTCAACTTCAGTAGAGTGGCGATTTTAGAGTCTGTCCATCTTGAACCGGTTCAAGATTTATCGAACAGGTTCAAGACATCCTGGTACTATTCTAACTTTCAGTTTCTTGTTCTGATTGTTTCTTTTTTTATCCCAATTTCTTTCTAAAGTCTTATACACGAAATTTCCCTTATTTTTAAGAGGAATAGGACTTTGCAAACCTCTATATAAACCATGTCATACACAAGGTTTATTTCACGGCTTTTAATCATTATTCATATATCATACAAAGCCTTAGGAAGAAAATCCCTTTCAGAAAATCAAAGTTGATTTTTTCTGTAGTCTTCCTAGAACATACACATATTCACCTAGATAGGTTAGAGTTGTGGAGTTCAAATCCTGATCGTGATCATACAATTGTATCAAACATTGATCAGACGAAGCAGATCTTCTTCTACATCATTCAGACGATTGAAGAACAGAAGTAAGCGCAATCACACTTTTGAAAGGGTTGGAGCATTCGTGGAGTGTTGTCTGATCTACCTGCTACTCTTCTACGAATATCAAGCGTCAGTCTGAGATCAAGTTGCTGTTGGACGAGGAGTCGCAAAACTAGAGGATCGTCAGCGGTTGGTGTGGTGTAAAACGATAGGGTGTGAGGCAGAGTCAAAGTTCAATATACTTTGTTCCAAGCATAGTGGATTGGTTTACTTTGAACTGCACAAGTCCACGAGGTTTTTCCCACAGTTGACGTATTTTATCAATTGGGGTTACCTCGCTAAAATCCTAGTGTCATCTCTAACTTTATACTTTGCTTTATTTTATCTGCATGTGATTAACTGTTTAATTGCTAAAACATAAAATAAGTAAAGTAAGGACACAAATCTGTTTTACAAAAACAAACAAAAACTTTTCTATATACATTCCGCTGCGTACGACTGACACATTGAAACTTTGACTTACTCTGAATTTAGTAAGGAAGGCAATCTGACTTAGTGTGTGTGGTTAATTTGCACAGCCAAATTGCAAATGAATTGATTAATTCTCATGTTTAAATTTTTGTGTGCAAATGTTCTTAAAAAAAATTAGAGATATTTGTTATTCAGTTCTTGTTAACAAATAACTTGAATAATGTACATTTTTGATTTAGTAGTAATTTTTATGACTAGTTTTGATATTATTATTCATTGTTAAATTGACATATTTGTTTGAATACAATTGATTGTAGCTTTAGTTTTTCTATATTCCAAAAATGTAATATTTTTTAAAATGTTATTTCTTACCGGTTATTGAGGATAACAGTGTAATCTGAACAGTTTTCAGATTTTAGCTTTTGTATATATCAAATAATTTTTATAAATTCAACATTTGAAATTTAAACAGTATCAAACACCTTAAAGATTAATAAATTCGGCACCTAAAAAGTTAAAACTTAAAATTTAGTGTATAAAATTTTCAGTGCTTAGGTTTCTAATTTTTATCAAACACACCCTTAGTGCTTCAAAGTAGAAAACAATGCAGAATTATATAGCTTCGAGATAGGATAGCTTACAAGCAAGACTTTGGGGACACCAACACTATTCTGATGCATAGGGACATTAGACATGTGATAGTTCCATAGTTCCATCTAAAGCCAAAGGTAGTGCTACCTATTTCTTACTCTTATTTAGTGTTTCTTTAAGAAATATTAGGTTTTTTTCATGAGGTAAAGGTGGTGCTAAATTTTTTTCACTCTTATTTTGTGATTCTTAAAGAAATATTGGGTCTTTACACTAACATATAAAATAACAGTTCAAAATATCAAAAGTTGAAAAGCATTAATAGATTTCTAAGAAAAAATTGGAGGGGCCAAATTTAATTTTCCTACTACTAGCCATAAATATATAACATTAATTGAA